ATTTCAATTATTAAAAGAATTTAATTGTTCTTTCTTTGATCCATTACCTTCAATTTACATAGAACAATTACAAAATAAAATATTATTAACAGAAACAATAAAAACAATATCTTTATTTAACATCATTGGAACACCTTTAGCATTATATCATTGTTTCCTTCAACTTGGAACTTTTTCACAAATTTATTTTGATTCTATAACTGATATATTAGATATTCTTAATAAAACTTTATCATCTTTGTCTCAATACTTAGACCATCCATTATATTCTTCTTTATTCAAACTTGTTAAAAATTACAAAAGCTCTTTTACTGAAGATAATTATAATAAATTGCAACAATCAAAAGGAACTCTTGACTCTGCAATAGAATGGTTATTTAATTCATGTGATATTCCTAAACCAGAAAACACTCTTCTTCCTTTGAAAACATCTCCCTTAATTCATAAGAAAGAACCCTCTAAAGTTATTGAACTTTGTGATTCTACAGATGTTATTGCTGCTATTTCATGGAGACGTATTGTAAAAAAATATACTACACACAATGCTGTTTTCGAGTATCCTTTCCATGCCCCTTATGTATTCTTTAAATTAGACTCAACTTTATGTAATGGGAATTCTCAAATGATTATTTCTCAAACCATACCTAAAGTATCTACTCTTCCTGTTGAAACTGAACCACAAAATGAGTTATATAAAAGATATGAAAGTCTAATGGAACGAGTAAAGTTCCGTATGTTTGATGAGATTTCTGTTGATTTTGAAGCAAATTATGTTAAATGGGATAGAGAATTACCAGCAATAATTCATTTTGAGAATAATGCTGTTATTATCAGGTATCATAATGGAGGAGAGAAAAATATGTTATCAAGAGAATGTAAACAAATTAATATTTCATTTGAAGACATCAATAGTATTCAAAGATTAAATGTATTGTATGAAGACATTGGAGTTGAAATTTATTACTTTAACTCTTTACTCTCTATTGTTTTACTATTTAAAACAACAACTGAAAGAAATAACTTTATTTCTAAACTTCCAATTACTCCAAATGAATTACAAAGATTTAATGAAGCACAACGTAAATGGGTCAAAGGAGAACTATCAAATTATGAATTTTTATATGAAGTAAATAGATATGCAAATAGAAGTTTTAAATTATTAAGTCAATACCCCATTTATCCATGGGTTATTTCTACCTTTAGTGAAGATTTTAGATTAAATGATTTAAGATCTTATCGAGATTTGACATTACCTATATCTGCTTGTAATGAAAAAGCAAAAAAAATGATTGAATCTAATTATAAAGAAAAAGAATGTCATTTTAATTGTTATTTAAGTAGTCCTAGTTTAGTTTGCAGAAGTTTAGTAAGACTTCAACCGTATTCAGAGTTATTATGGAAAGAAATGTCAGAAAGATGTTTTGAAGTTGGAGGAAGGATTTTTAAAAGTATTGAAGGATTCTTTAAAAGTAGTGTAGAACAATCAAGAAGTGAATTAATTCCACAATACTACACTACACCAGCATTTTTAACTAATTTAAATAATTATTTAACTTCTCTAAATGGAGAGTCACTTGGAGATGTTACTTTACCGAACTGGGCATTTAAACACAATCTTCTTGATAGTGGAAATCTAAAAGACAGAGGGGAAATGACTTCTCCAAGAGAGTTTATTAGAAAAATGAAAATGGCATTAGAAAGTAGTAATGTTAGTAAGTATCTAAATAGTTGGATTGATCTTATATTTGGTTGTTTACAACAAAGTGTAAACCATTACAATGTTTATTTAAATGATTACACTATTAATTCAACTCAGCCAGATTCATTAAAACAAACTATATGGAAAACTATGGGTCACTTACCTCTATGTATTATGACAAAAGGATGTCCTGAAAGAACAGATAATGGAACTAGATTTTCATGTAATTTAGGATTGAATTGTGCTGCTCGTCGACCAAAAAAAGTTGGATCAGTTAAAGAAGATTGGTGTTCATTAGTTGATAGTAAAAATGGATATATTCCTATTACAATTAAAGGAACTATTGGAATTGGTGAAAGTGCAGTATATTATGATGAAGTATTACATCAAATCATATTACTAAAACCAAGTGAAAATTTTGTTGCAGCAGCTATTGGAATACAATGCGTTAATGGAGATGATGATTGGATTGTTGCGGGTGGAGATAATGTATTAGCTTTTCATCATAATCATATTTACAGTTTTAATGGAATATCTAATATATCATCATTGTCAATTAAAATTAAATATGATTCTATTATTGCAGGTAATGAAAGTGGTATGGTTATTGTTTGGTCAATTACTAAACAAAGAATTAGATGGAAAAAACAATTTGAATTACCAGTTCAACATGTATTAATTACAAATAATGGCGATATTTTCATACTAACATATAATCATTTTGAAAACACAACAACAATTATTGGTTGTGACATTAATGGTATTGTTTTTGGTGAGTCTTCTTTTAATGCCCAAGTGACTGCAATAACATGTTCTCAATCTATCAATTCAACCTCTCCCACATTAGCTGTTGGAACAAATGTTGGAGAAGTATTATTATATGATGCATTTACTCTTGCTTTATTATTCTCTTATTCAGCGGATAGAAAAACAAAGAGTGTTACTTCATTCTTGTACACCAACAAAGATTGTAAATTATATTATAGTATTCAAAGAGAAGAAGGTGGATGTTTCATTTATTCTTTATGAAAGAACCTAAATTACAAGAAACTGTTTTTTTTTAATTTAGAAATTATTTTTATTAAAAATTTTTGTTAAAATAATAAGAATTAATTACATCATTTGAATAACTACAACTCTAGTGACTGAGAAATCTTCAAAACTGTCTGTGTTACTCAAACTTGATGGTGCACCTAAATAAGCAATTTGAAGATTCTTACAATATGAGTCTGCCACACCAGTTTGATGAATTATAAAACAACCTATATGACCAACTTGATATAAATAACTTTCATTTTTATAAACAAAGAGAGCATTAGAGCTGTTGTCTCCAATTGGATTCCATTTCATTGGTTTAAATGTTGACTTCTTTAATGAGAAAATAAAATGGTTAGGGTCAGAAATAAATTTGTTAGTTTCATGAATAGGAACAGACACAAATGCTCCAAATACATAACCAAATTCATCAAAATTAATAAAGTACAAATTGGGTTTATTCATAATCTTATAATTAAATTGCTCATGTGAATTATGAGAAGAATCAAATACAATCTGGCATTCATTCAAATTACACCAATTTTGTAAATAAATATAATGTTCTCCAATAATTCTAAGTTCTTTATCCATTTTAAGTTTAAATGGAATAATACCAATTTTTTTAGGAATTATAAACTTCATATTGTTAAGTTCAGTTCTTCTTAACTGAAATTCTTCTTTTCTTTTATTTATCATTTCTTGGCACTTTGATTCAATTTCTTTAATCTCTTCTTTATATTTATTTTCTTCTATAAAAATTAATTTTCTGACAATATCATTTGTTATTTCTTTCATTATTATTTCTTCGTCTTCTTGCTTCTGATTTATTCGCTTTATTTTATTTACTCCTTCTTTTAAATGTTGGAGAATTACATTTCTTTTAGATATTTTTTCTTCTGTAAGTTGTATTTTCCATTTTATTTTATTGAGAATTTCTTCTGTATTATCAATTAAATCATTCTCATGATTATTCACATTCTGTTGTTCTAATTGTTCAATACTTATTCCTTCTTGTTTGGTTTGTTTTAATAATTCTTCTACTTCTTCTTTTCTTTGAAGAATTTCATCCCACCATCTATTTTCCATACCAACTGATTGTGACATTGAGATGAATCTCATGACAAAACAAATAAATACAACGTTTTATTTTGATATTTCTACATGACTTTATTCAGGAAATAATATCTTTTTTACAATCTTAGAAAGTGAATTATTTCCTGATTTAAATCAATAAAAATCTTAAATACAAAAACTATAACATAGTCCGAATAAAAACGAAATAACTAGACAATACAAAATTTTAAAATATCTACTTTCACCTGAGTTTATTGGTTTGACTCATTTGTAGATAAAATTTTTATATTATCTTCACTAGCTAAATGGACAAACTAAAAATTATTCAAAAAGTGTTAACTAAGTAGTACCAATTCAACAAGTACTCTCTTTTATTAAAAATATGTATATTTCACTTATTAAAAATTTCTAGTCTGAAAAA